AATAGCATGCACCATCAGCCCCATCCTCCCTGCCTCAGTTTGCAAAAAGTGTAGGGACACCTCTGACAGGAGGAAAGGGGAAATCTTCCAATGGGGACATATATTCTGGTGACAACTGTCTAAGAGGGGCTTTCCCTCACTATGGAAATATTTCCTCTCACTTCCTGCTGTTTTACTAGAACAGGAAGTGACTGGAAATCTCCCCAATGGAAAACACACAGCAAAATAAATAAGTAAAGTCTTACGGGGGGGTCTCATCCGTCCTTAATCTTTCCAAAACAGACAAAAAATGTTTTGGTGTTAGATATATTTTAACCTTCGGGCAATCTGGAATTGTAACCTTCATTCTGAGCCCTGAGCCCAGGTGACTGTTCAGGACACAGACAGCAATGGAACATGACAGGGGTCCCAGCCCTTCCCTAATCTGTCCAAGAAGGTTTGAGCTGTAGGTAGACTTTATAGACATCTGACATACAATGTAATCCTTCCAATCACAGATATTTGAAGCCTACGGACAGACAGAGTGCGGAGCCGGGTGTTCGTTCTCCACGCCGGGAGATTGGACTGCAGGTATGATATTACATTGCCAGTCCTGGGTGGTCTGACCCTGGAAGAACGTCATAATGTATCATTATGGAATACAATCCCGTGTTACAAGATTCCGTATTTCTCGATCATCTTCTAGGCCACGTCGGGGCTCCTCTGCCATGTAATTTGCTGAAGCTGGTGGACGTAGCGGAGATGAACTATTTCTACTCTAACGGAGAAGGAGAGGTGACTCCATCTTTGGAATCTCTAGAAATTTGCTTTAGAAAATATAACAATTTCTGTTTCAATTTTATTCTCAACCGTGATAAGATCTTTAGAGCATCAACACCATGAAGTTCCTGAAGATATTGGAACCCTTTTAGTAAGGTCAAAAAGCTTGTCCAAGACAAAAACATTGATCAGCGATCTATGATAGCCCCCAAAATAAAGAAATGGGAGCTGAGCTGGCCGTAGACTGGTTACAGATAGACAGGGACTTATCTACTCATACGGGAGCCCAATGTGACTTATCTACTCATACGGGAGCCCAATGTGACTTAACTACTCATACGAGAGCCCAATGTGACTTATCTACTCATACGGGAGCCCAATGTGACTTAACTAGTCATACGGGAGCCCAATGTGACTTATCTACTCATACGGGAGCCCAATGTGACTTAACTACTCATACGGGAGCCCAATGTGACTTAACTACTCATACGGGAGCCCAATGTGACTTAACAACTCATATGGGAACCCAATGTGACTTATCTACTCATACGGGAACCCAATGTGACTTAACTACTCATACGGGAGCCCAATGTGACTTATCTACTCATATGGGAACCCAATGTGACTTAACTACTCATACGGGAGTCCAGTGTGACTTATCTACTCATACGGGAGCCCAATGTGACTTATCTACTCATACGGGAGCCCAATGTGACTTAACTAGTCATACGGGAGCCCAATGTGACTTATCTACTCATACGGGAGCCCAATGTGACTTAACTACTCATACGGGAGCCCAATGTGACTTAACAACTCATATGGGAACCCAATGTGACTTATCTACTCATACGGGAACCCAATGTGACTTAACTACTCATACGGGAGCCCAATGTGACTTATCTACTCATATGGGAACCCAATGTGACTTAACTACTCATACGGGAGTCCAGTGTGACTTATCTACTCATACAGGAACCCAATGTGACTTATCTACTCATATGGGAACCCAATGTGACTTATCTACTCATACGGAAGCCCAATGTGACTTATCTACTCATATGGGAACGCAATGTGACTTAACTACTCATACGGGAGCCCAATGTGACTTAACTACTCATACGGGAGCCCAATGTGACTTAACTAGTCATACGGGAGCCCAATGTGACTTAACTACTCATACGGGAGCCCAATGTGACTTAACTGCTCATACGGGAGCCCAATGTGACTTAACTGCTCATATGGGAACCCAATGTGACTTATCTACCCATACGGGAGCCCAATGTGACTTAACTAATCATACGGGAGCCCAATGTGACTTAACAACTCATATGGGAAGCCAATGTGACTTATCTACTCATATGGGAACCCAATGTGACTTAACTACTCATACAGGAACCCAATGTAACTTAACAACTCATATTCTGGGTTCAGATACTTTAACTGCTGCATGTAATTAAATTACGCTTTCACGCCATGCGATCTTTATTATTTAATAATTAACATCTCTGCGTTCTGATCTTCCAGGTCTGTATTAAAGGCCCCAACGTGTTTCAGGGCTACCTGAAAGACCCGGAGAAGACAGCAGAGGCGATGGATGAGGACGGCTGGCTGCACACGGGGGATATCGGCAAATGGCTTCCTGTGAGTGACTCCAAAATGTCTGCTGGAGGATAATACTTTATAAATTATGATGTTATATACGATATAAAAATATTAGATTGTTATATAGATTCTGTATTATATGTAGAAGAGAGAGAGAGAGAGAGAGAGTAGATGAGAGAGTGAGATACAGTAGATGAGAGAGAGATAAAGTAGATGAGAGAGAGAGAGAGCCGACATGTGACAATGAGACTGTCACAGGTCGGCTCAATAGATCTGGAAGTGAGCGAACACATACCGTCGCTCGCTCACTTCTCGATGATCTCCCTGCAGAGAGCCGTGACTGTCACCCACGGCTCCCTGCAGGGATTCCCCCCCTCCCCGCTCCGATCCTCCAGCGCTGACTGGCGGAACGGACGGGGGAGGGGGCGGGTACAGCTGGCTCTGCCTCTAGATAGGCAGAGCCAGCTGTCAATCACGCAGCTGGGTGGATCTTGACTGCATTGTCGAGATGCGTTTCGGCTGCTGCGGTCTCAGTATATAGCGAGCTGTAGCTCCCTATATACTGAACTTTGGGTCATGGGAGGACGCTAGTTTGTGTCCTCCCATGACCCTGAGGAGAACTAAGGGGAAAAGCACTGACCTGACCTCTTTTAATAATAATCAACAGCAGCTAACATAAGCCCTGTAACAGCAGCACGTTCCTGCAAATCACTTTCGGGCTTATGTACCTGGAGCATTGTTGTCAGACTCAGGCTTTTACATTTGAACGCTTGAGCTTGGTTTAAATGCTGTGTATCTTCAATGCAAACACATCTCCAGTTGGGCATGCTGCATCCTGAAAAATGTAGCACGGGTCACATGCAGCCTCATCCACACTGCAGCATTGAGTTAAAGGGCAATTTGCTGACCTGCGTTTGTCATTCATCAAACACCGGCAAACAACACCTATGTACACAAGACCTTCACTGGCATTACTTCTGTACTGACTCACCCTGTACAAAGAGCACTAGGTGGGAAGTGATAATTGAACTGATTGGCAAAGAGGGAAAATCAGCCACCTGCGAATTTTCATCGTCGCTTTATTATTATTATTATACGGGATTTATAAAGCGCCAACAGTTTGCGCAGCACTTTACAATATAAGGAAGACATTACAATCACAATGCAAGGCAAGATGGTGAGGAGGGCCCTGCCCCTGAGGGCTTACATTGTAAAAGGGAGGGGCCAGTGATACATGATGGGGTAATGAGCTTTAATCCATTGACGTGCAATCGTCCAATCCGCAGAGAGTGTTTGGGTCTCTTCGTTGTAATTGGCTGAATCCCTGTATCGGGTGACTTTCCGCAGATAGACGTTCATGCCAATAACTAAGCAAATCAAATACACTGATTTAGAGATCAATACTTGTGGCCGCACACCATAGAAGGCAATGGGAAATGGGCAGAAGACAAGGAAGGGTGATCTCTGATGGGTTGCTGAGGGTGGGGCGTGGAGTAACACAATGAGGGGAACTTATCAAAACTGGTGCAGATAAAATCTGAAGCAGTTGCTCACGGCAACCAATCAGCTTCTCTCTTCAGTTTGTTCAGTTAAGACCTGAAAATGAAAGAGAGAAGCTGATTGGCTGCCGTGCACAGCGGCTCCAGATTTTGTCTGCTCCAGTTTTGATAAATTCCCCCCGATGTCT